CATTTGATTTATGTATTCAGTGATTTGCTGAGAACCCCAAACAAAAGGGGATATCCTGACGCCAATATATTTATCAAAAGAAAATCCATTATTGTTGCGGTTGGATTCGGTCGAGTTCACAACTAAACAAACTTGCCCTGCCATCTATGGGGAATATTTTGAATTAATTCTGAGTTTCAGCTCGCAGTCGTCTTGATAGTCAGTTTTAGAAAACAACACAAAATATTTTATTTTCATAATATTTCTGTCGAAAAAATATTTTGTTGTAGATTTATCAAATCAATGTATTATATTTAGTTCAATTTAAAGAGTTTTATTTATTTTCAAGATTTCTAAAAGCTTCTAATTCACATACAATTTTTATCAAACGAATAGGACACAAGTTAATTTTCAAAAAAATCGGAATGTAGTTTTTATGTTCCATATTTTCATCCAAGTATGTTTTATAAACTCATTATTATATTATATGGAGACACAAGGAAATGTGTTATGACTTCTCATATGTAACTGAATTACAAGGTTTTCCCAAAAGTTCGTAAACATTTGCAAAAAAATTTAAATACCAATATTATTCGCCGTTATGTATAATGTCTTTGTATTATATATAAAGTAAGTGTATTATGTATTATTATGTATTCTCCGTAATAATATTATTTGCCAAGTGATAAGAAAAACACGAACTTTTGGGACAACCTTATACAAACCTTTACATTACAACCTTGTATAAATGAATATAAAGCAATAACGCGCCATCTATTACGTGTATAACAAATGAAGACATTAAGACGCGAATTTATTTTCACAAATAATTCAAACTTCTACTGTCCTTACTGCGATGAAAAATATTTAAATGTAATTCTACTGTCCTAAAAGCTTATGTCCATACCAAAAATTAGTCCATACCAAAGATTCCACCCCTAGGAGCAGCATATAAATGCAGAATAATCTAATACAGTATTGGAGCTCTAAAGAAGCGGTCTGGTAGATTAAATTGGAGAAACCGTTGGGAGGGTTCAATACTGATGAACCAAGCCCTTCCAATATATATTTTTTTATCGCAGTAAGGACAGTAGAAGTTTGAATTATTTGTGAAAATAAACACTCACGTCTTAATGTATTCATTCGTTTTATATATAGTGTGATCAATAATTTCCAGGAATGCTAAAATATTTTTAAAATACAAAAGTATAATAAAGTTTTATTTAAAATTTCTCAAAATAATGACAGTCACTATCTATACACTTGTTCCATTTTTTTTTCAGATATTAAAGCACCTCTGAAAATCCTCATCCTTCAGGCTTTTCAAAATATTCTTCGTATTCTCCTTTATTTCAGGCATTGAGTCAAATCGACGTCCTTTTAAGACTTTTTCAATTTTAGGGTAAAGGAAAAAGTCGTTGGGAGCAAGTTCAGGTGAATAGGGTGGCTGGGGTAGTAAAGCAATAATTCTGTGTTTAGCCAAATAGAGTTGTACAGTGACGGCCGTATGTGGCCGTGCGTTGTCATGATGCAAGAGCCCATTTTTCTGATGCCATTTTTCGGGTCGTTTCTGACGCACAGCCTCCCTTAAACGTCGCAATGCATCAAGATAGTAATGTTGATTAATGGTCTGACCCTCGGGCACGAATTCATAGTGTACCAATCCCTTTACATCAAAGAGAGTGATAAGAAGACACTTAAGCTTCGATTTGATCATCCTTGCTTTCTTGAATCTTGGTTCTCCAGGCTCTAGCCACTGTCTTGATTGCCTCTTAGTCTCGGGATCATATCCGTACACCCATGTTTCATCTCCCGTGATAACATTTTTGAGCCAATGGGGATCAGAATTAAACATTTCGACCATGTTTATGCACATTTCTTTGCGATGCTCTTTCTGCTCATTCGTTAAGAGATGTGGGACAAATTTAGCCGGGGATCGTTTAAGATTAAGATCATTCTTTATGATGGTTTGGCATGTTCCAAAAGAGATATTTAAGTCTTCTGATAGCTCTCTGATAGTTATCCGTGGGTTTTATTTGATCGATGACTTGATTTTGAGTGCATTTTCAGAGTTTCTTATCGATAAAGGTCTGCCAGTGTGTAGATCATCCTTGACGCTTGTTCGACCAGCTTTAAATCTGCAAACCATTCAAATGTCCTCGGTTGTGATAGGGCATTCCTTTAAAAGCCTGCTTCAACATTTGAAATGAATCGGAAGCTGTTTTCCCTAATTTTAAGCAAAACTCTATGCAGACTCGTTGTTTTTCAATACAGTCCATACTGAAGTTAGAAAATGTGTTCTGATATACTCGAGCTTATAAATTCGAGAAAAAAAAAGTGAGCGCGTGCGTCTGTGTGATCAATTTTTTTTTCTACGTGTTAATAAATGTTTTATCTATAAAGCCCTTATAAAATTATTTCATTATTTTGAATATTTTACGTGATCCAGTCTCATTCCTGGAAATTATTGATCACACCTTGTATATACCATGGTAGATGGCGGGCTATTGATTTGTATTGATTTATATATACTTTTAAATAATAGGATATATTTTGTATATTACTTGATGTTGTAATATATATATATTAAAAATAAAAAAGGCATATCCTGACCAGGAGCACACGCGCTTTTTAGATGGCAGAGCGCCATCTAGTGGAACAGAAATCAACTAAACATTGATTTAGCCTGTTCCCTGATATTTGGCTAACCCAATTTCTCGATTTATTAGAGAAGAAGCCAAATATCAGGGAACAGGCTAAATCAATGTTTAGTTGATTTCTGTTCCACTAGATGGCGCTCTGCCATTTAAAAAGCACACGTGCTCGTGGTCAGAATATGCCTTTTTCATTTTTAATATCAACACAATGTTATATATATATATATATAAAAATGGCATATCCTGACCAGGAGCACATGTGCTTTACAGAAGGCAGAGCGCCATCTGGTGGAACAGAAATCAACTAAACATTGATTTAGCCTGTTCCCTGATATTTGGCCAACCCAATTTCTTGATAAATCAAGAAAAGCCATCCACGAACGCGTTTCGCGCTTTTTGGCGCTCGTCAGCGTGGAGTAGGCTGAACCATTGAGACCAAAAAAGATTTTTTGATCCCAATGGCTTCCTGAAAAACCAAGAAATGGGTATTTAAGGCCAAACTTGCGTAAATACGCTTAGCACATTAAAAAACGAAATAAAAAATAAAAAGATCAGGTGTTGAAATCAATATAAAAAATGGCATATCCTGACCAGGAGCACATGTGCTTTACAGAAGGCAGAGCGCCATCTGGTGGAACAGAAATCAACTAAACATTGATTTAGCCTGTTCCCTGATATTTGGCCAACCCAATTTCTTGATAAATCAAGAAAAGCCATCCACGAACGCGTTTCGCGCTTTTTGGCGCTCGGCTAAATCAATGTTTAGTTGATTTCTGTTCCACCAGATGGCGCTCTGCCTTCTGTAAAGCACATGTGCTCCTGGTCAGGATATGCCATTTTTTATATTGATTTCAACACCTGATCTTTTTATTTTTTATTTCGTTTTTTAATGTGCTAAGCGTATTTACGCAAGTTTGGCCTTAAATACCCATTTCTTGGTTTTTCAGGAAGCCATTGGGATCAAAAAATCTTTTTTGGTCTCAATGGTTCAGCCTACTCCACGCTGACGAGCGCCAAAAAGCGCGAAACGCGTTCGTGGATGGCTTTTCTTGATTTATCAAGAAATTGGGTTGGCCAAATATCAGGGAACAGGCTAAATCAATGTTTAGTTGATTTCTGTTCCACCAGATGGCGCTCTGCCTTCTGTAAAGCACATGTGCTCCTGGTCAGGATATGCCATTTTTTTTATATTGATTTCAACACCTGATCTTTTTATTTTTTATTTCGTTTTTTAATATATATATATATATTATTAATCCGTTAGTTTGATATGATATATCCTTACGTGTCTTTATTTTAAAATCTCTATATCATCTGACTTCATTTCTTTATTTCACCTATGTTTAATCCAGTTTTCAGTTTGTTCAAACTTGACATTTCGATGTGTCCTAGTTTTCTGTGTCACTTGCATTCTTCTGTTTATATCAATGAGGATTATTTTGTTCCATTTTTCAGTTTCAATATTCACAGTATAAAGTCCATTTTCCTTTCTTTCACCTTCAAGAACTTTTAATCCATATTTCTTTATTATTAACCCTTTTTCTTTGAATGTTTTTTTCTCATCTTTTGTCTGTTATAGTGCTTACTGATAAGACATTTATTGAAAGATCTGGGGTACACATTACCTTTTTAGAATGCAGATTTTTCCAAGTTTACCCAATGTTTTTATCTCTTGGTTAAAATAACCGTAATTGCTAAACTATGTATTTGTATTTATTTCATTGATTGTTCCTAGGCAAGATATAAAATCAACCATGATTTTAATGTCCTTTCCTTTCTTTTCTTCTTTAAACTTCTACTCAAACCTTGTAATTCACCAATTGTTTATGTAAAATATTTCTCTGAATTTAGTGTTGTTACTTGATTCAAGCATCCCTTGTGGTGATATAGCGTGTGATTTGATGATAATAAATAATGAATTGTTGCTGCATCCATGGTCTTTTGTTTTTCAGAAACTTAAATTATTATATCACATTTCCTTTTCGCTGTTAAAGTATTTTTGACATTTATCAAGTGGCCACGCTATCAACAATGTAATCAATGAAATAATACAATATAATGTGGCTATAAAAGGCAAATATTAAATTAATTTAAAATATCATTATGAACTTAACGCCCTCTATTTATAAAGTGGCGATAAAATATATTTTTAATTTTCATTGATTGTAGAACGACGTTTGACTATTTTACCGCAAATGTTTCTTTTGAAAGAAAAATCGTAATTTATTTTAAGGAGAAATAACGACTATTTCTATCCTTAGGGATGAAGTATGAAAGAATGAATTGTGAAGAGTAATGATAAACGTAAAAATAAAAGTGTCCAGGGATGAGAATCGAACCCATATTTACGAACAGAAAAATATGTCCAGGGTAGCCTAGTGGACATGGCATCTGCCTCTATCTTCACGATAATCAAAACCAATTTTGGGCCTCTATGTTCACGATGGCATCTGCCCGGTAAGCGGAACACTGTGGGTTCGATTCCCATTCCTGGACACTTTATTTTTCCGTTCATCATTACTCTTCACAATTCATCCTTTAATACTTCATCCCTAAGGATAGAAATAGTCGTTATTTCTCCTTAAAATAAATTACGAATTTCCCTTCAAAAGAAACATTTGCGGTAAAATTGTCAAACGTCGTTCTACAATCAATGAAAATTAAAAATATATTTTATCGCCACTTTATAAATAGAGGGCGTTAAGTTCATAATGATATTTTAAATTAATTTAATATTTGCCTTTTTTACTCAATTTTCTTTCCTTTCTTATACAAAAGAGCCAATTTTCTCCCTTTTTATTTTATTTTTCTAAAGAAGCAATCTTTGTAATTTATATTTTTCTCCAATTACACATTGAAGTTTCTTTACTTTTAAGGATTCATAACTTTGGTTTGGGGGATATCATGCTTTAATCATTATTGTTCTTATGGAAAATGGAACATGAGATTTTCTGTGTACATTGTATTGCCCTGCCTTTTCACAAATGTAACAATGTCGTTATTTTTTACTTCTGTTTCATGCATTGCTAATTTTTCATCATTTTTATGTTTGACTGTCATTCTTGATTCTTCTTGTGATAGCCTTGAAATTAAATTGCCATTTTTTTTTCATTTTGTATATATAAAAAAAACTCCTATTTTCAAATTTACAACTCTTTCTTTTCCTTTCTTCTTTTATATCATTCAAAAATCCCCCCAAAAAAAGTATACAAAACAGAATAATTTATACAAAGTACAAGGTATATTACAAATATATATTTGTGTATATCTAAACTTTATAAAAACTGTGTCTCTCCTTAGCGATTTTAAGGCTCGTAAAGTAATTTTACATCTTCTTTTTAATTAATTTTTCAATTAACCACGTATCACTGTTAGGTTTTAAAAGATAAAAAAGACAATTTTAATATAAAACACGCAGAAGTTTCTTATTCACAATATAAGAAATACACAGACTCACTATAATGTTGTATAATATAAAGCGATATTTCTATATTTAACACCTCAATAATAATAATAATAAAAATATTTTAAAGTTTATTTTGCTAAATTAAATAGATGAATAATCTATAACATTGATTTTCAACCTCTGACTAAGCTTGTTGCTTGGAAAATGTAGAAGATGTAGGAACCAAAAGATATAGTCCATAAAAAAAAGATATTTTCAGCAAACCAGCGGTAAAAGAAGGCTTTGTTTAAATGTTGATTGAGTTTTACAGTATAAGATGGGCTTTTTTTATCTCGTCAGCCCTTGAAGATATTAGACTTATGAGGCCTTACTTATGTTCTTTATACTGATTTACAAAACGAAGGCACAAAACAAAGTGAAGTATTTAAAGTGTGTATTTTCCTAAAACTTACCTAACTGATTTCATTGATAATTATAGTGTATCGTAAAGATAGAGGCTGACTAGCCGGCATTCATAATTCTTAACATTAAAGATACTTATGGCCGAAGTATCTTTAATTTTAAGAATTATAGTGTAGTTATCAATTATTTGCGCGAATACCTGATCAAAAAGGACAGAGTGGTAATACATATTGAAATTAAAAAAAGATTATACGTCTGCCAATTATATTCATGTAGAATATAGTGTGTGGGGGGGGGGGGGGGGGGGGGGGGGGGGGGGGGGGGGGGGGGGGCGGGGGATTTATTTAGCTACTCACTCTGTCTGAGCAAATATTTGCCGAGCATATCATCTGACTTTGAGGTATAAAATACACTATTCACTCTAGTCTGTATATTTATAGCGAGTCAAGCTACTCTCAGGTAACATTGAAGAAGCACGAGAGCTGTTATGAAGAGGAATGAGAAGATTGAAGTTGGTAAAATTAGAAAATTGAATATGTGAATATATATGTATGGAGTAAAATGTAGGTAAGTCCCCAAAATGTCCCCCAAGAAGTGTCCCAGTACATGGAGTAGAGAAAGCCCTCGCCGAGCGTGTCGCCCCGCCGAGTGTGACCGCTCAGTCAGGCTTACTTCCCGATCGTGCCAGGGCATTTCCCTTCTTGGGGGCGCCATCTTGGCTGCTGGTCATTAGGACGTTCTCTTTCGTACTGTTTCTCCACATTGGATCACGCTGGTCGTGAATTGCTTCTCTTTCTCTCTCAACCTTGGGAGTCCTTCCTGGTCCACACTGGGGTGGATTCTTTATCTCTGGTCTCGTACTGTTTCTTTACAAGGCGTGGAGGCGTTCTCTCTGGCCTCGTATTGTTTTTCTATACTAGGGTCGACGTTTTCGCTTTAATCTCGTACTGTTTATTCACACTGGAGTTGGCGCGTTCTCTCTGATATCATACTGTTTCTCTACACTGGTGTACGCTCTCTCACTGAACCCGTTCTACTGTTCTTCATACAATAGAATGGAGGTGTTCTCTCTGATCTCATACTGTTTCTCTACATTGGGGTGTACGCTCTCTCACTGATCCCGTTCTACTGTTCTTCATACATTAGAATGGAGGTGTTCTCTCAGATCTCATACTGTTTCTCTACATTGGTGTGTACGCTCTCTCACTGATCCCGTTCTACTGTTCTTCATACACTAGAATGGAGATGTTCTCTCTGATCTCATACTGTTTCTCGACATTGGGGTGTACGCTCTCTCACTGATCCCGTTCTACTGTTCTTCATACACTAGAATGGAGGTGTTCTCTCAGATCTCATACTGTTTCTCTACACTGGTGTACGATCTCTCACTGATCATGTTCTACTGTTCCTCATACACTAGAGTGGAGGTGTTCTCTCAGATCTCATACTGTTTCTCTGCTTCGGGGTGTACGCTCTCTCACTGAACCCGTTCTACTTTTCTTCATACACTAGAGTGGAGGTGTTCTCTCTGATCTCATACTGTTTCTCTACATTGGGTTGTACGCTCTCTCACTGATCCCGTTCTACTGTTCTTCATACACTAGAGTGGAGGTGTTCTCTCAGATCTCATACTGTTTCTCTACATTGGGGTGTACGCTCTCTCACTGAACCCGTTCTACTGTTCTTCATACACTAGAATGGAGGTGTTCTCTCAGATCTCCTACTGTTTCTCTACATTGGGGTGTACGCTCTCTCACTGATCCCGTTCTACTGTTCTTCATACACTAGAGTGGAGGTGTTCTCTCAGATCTCATACTGTTTCTCTGCTTCGGGGTGTACGCTCTCTCACTGAACCCGTTCTACTTTTCTTCATACACTAGAGTGGAGGTGTTCTCTCTGATCTCATACTGTTACTCTACATTGGGGTGTACGCTCTCTCACTGATCCCGTTCTACTGTTCTTCATACACTAGAGTGGAGCCGTTCTCTCTGATCTCATACTGTTACTCTACATTGGGGTGTACGCTCTCTCACTGATCCCGTTCTACTGTTCTTCATACACTAGAATGGAGGTGTTCTCTCAGATCTCATACAGTTTCTCTACATTGGGGTGTACGCTCTCTCTCTGATCCCGTTCTACTGTTCTTCATACACTAGAATGAAGGTGTTCTCTCTGATCTCATACTGTTTCTCTACATTGGGGTGTACGCTCTCTCACTGATCCCGTTCTACTGTTCTTCATACACTAGAATGGAGGTGTTCTCTCAGATCTCATACTGTTTCTCTACACTGGTGTACGATCTCTCACTGATCATGTTCTACTGTTCCTCATACACTAGAGTGGAGGTGTTCTCTCAGATCTCATACTGTTTCTCTGCTTCGGGGTGTACGCTCTCTCACTGAACCCGTTCTACTTTTCTTCATACACTAGAGTGGAGGTGTTCTCTCTGATCTCATACTGTTTCTCTACATTGGGGTGTACGCTCTCTCACTGATCCCGTTCTACTGTTCTTCATACACTAGAATGTAGGTGTTCTCTCAGATCTCATACTGTTTCTCTACACTGGTGTACGATCTCTCACTGATCATGTTCTACTGTTCCTCATACACTAGAGTGGAGGTGTTCTCTCAGATCTCATACTGTTTCTCTGCTTCAGGGTGTACGCTCTCTCACTGAACCCGTTCTACTTTTCTTCATACACTAGAGTGGAGGTGTTCTCTCTGATCTCATACTGTTTCTCTACATTGGGGTGTACGCTCTCTCACTGATCCCGTTCTACTTTTCTTCATACACTAGAGTGGAGGTGTTCTCTCTGATCTCATACTGTTACTCTACATTGGGGTGTACGCTCTCTCACTGATCCCGTTCTACTGTTCTTCATACACTAGAGTGGAGCCGTTCTCTCTGATCTCATACTGTTACTCTACATTGGGGTGTACGCTCTCTCACTGATCCCGTTCTACTGTTCTTCATACACTAGAATGGAGGTGTTCTCTCTGATCTCATACTGTTTCTCTACATTGGGGTGTACGCACTCTCACTGAACCCGTTCTACTGTTCTTCATACACTAGAATGGAGGTGTTCTCTCAGATCTCATACAGTTTCTCTACATTGGGGTGTACGCTCTCTCACTGATCCCGTTCTACTGTTCTTCATACACTAGAATGGAGGTGTTCTCTCAGATCTCATACAGTTTCTCTACATTGGGGTGTACGCTCTCTCACTGATCCCGTTCTACTGTTCTTCATACACTAGAATGGAGGTGTTCTCTCAGATCTCATACTGTTTCTCTGCTTCGGGGTGTACGCTCTCTCACTGAACCCGTTCTACTTTTCTTCATACACTAGAGTGGAGGTGTTCTCTCTGATCTCATACTGTTTCTCTACATTGGGGTGTACGCTCTCTCACTGATCCCGTTCTACTGTTCTTCATACACTAGAATGTAGGTGTTCTCTCTGATCTCATACTGTTTCTCTACATTGGGGTGTACGCTCTCTCACTGATCCCGTTCTACTGTTCTTCATACACTAGAGTGGAGCCGTTCTCTCTGATCCCATACTGTTTCTCTACATTGCGGTGTACGCTCTCTCACTGATCCCGTTCTACTCTTCTTTATACACTAGAATGGAGCCGTTCTCTCTGATCTCATACTGTTTCTCTACATTGGGGTGTACGCTCTCTCACTGA